TATGATCCTGGATCGAAGAGAGGATGGAACCTTCACCTACGAATGTTAGAGAGAATGGTGTTCGGGACTTCGTCCCACACACTTTTTTTCTACATATTACCATGATTTTGAAAATTGGCAATCTTTTGAAAAAACAAAAAAAAAGGCGCATGACTGCATTGGAACCAATGGGAACAAAAGATTATGGCGTCCTTTTTGTGTACATAAGTCTGAACTGGAGAGGTAAATGCGGAATTTACTTCTATTAAAAATATTTCAAAAGATAGTACCTAATGCAGTAGGCTGATCTTTCCAAGAGCGGTAGGAAATAAATTCTTCAAAAATTTCTAGAGTGAAGTGAGTAGCGTGGAATTTGCGCTATAAACTTCTTGTCAAAAGCCGATCCTTCCGCCCCAACTGCTACCACGAAACACCCTTTGAATTGAATTGCTGCTAGGTGGCCCAGAACATTTGCTACCATATCCTCTTAAATAAAGCACCAAAAACTACTTACAGTAGCTCCGATTACAAGATTTCATATCATATGTTTGAATATGGCGAAACTACTCGAGTCACTTTGAAGAAAACATAGAACAGCATCACAATAGATAAATCATTACGGTCTTGGTTAGACTTGTACAAAACAGTGGAATTTGTCCTGCATCGTTGGTCTTGGACTGTATCAACATGAAGTGTGATTTCTGTTCCGTGCAAATTCGACCAATTCCCCCCATCCAATCGAAGCGCACTTTTAAACGGCGTCTGCGATATTGCGTAATGGGGCGGAGAGATGTCTGTTAGCGTTTGTTTATGTCATTTTGCTGAACCTAGGAGTTTGGCTCGCAGTTTCTCTCTTGTTTATCATTGATTAGTGGTGTGCTCCTTGTGTAGTAGGTAGCGTACAGTATCTTCTTCTGCCGCGTTAATAAGCTCTTTCAAAAAATCTGTTAATGAAATACTCTATATACTCCACAATGTTTAAGAGCCATGGGTAAGGCTCACGCCAGTAATAATTGTGAGCCGGCTCAACCGCTTCTGGGTAAGTCCGAAAAATGCCCCGATAATTCATTGGAGCCAAATCCAGAAGCAAGCGCTAGCATCTTCTCGAGGATTACATTCCTGTAAGCTGGCCTTCTTATTTTTGGGGCTGCTTATCGTTTTTTGCTGTCATTTTTTAGGTTTATGACGGGTCTATTCTACAAAGGATGTAGGAAAACTCTCGAGGTTGAAGATATGTACGAACCCTTACCACAACACGAGTCCGAAGCTGCAACAGAACGATTGTCACGGTAAATAGTGTTTCAAACATGATATTGTAGGAAATTTGTACCATACGCTGGGAGTGAGGGTTGTAGCGTTGATTAACAAGAATTTGCAAACTGTTTTCTTTATCTTCTGATTTAGAGCGTGGGAGCATGAGCGAGAACTGGCACAAAAAGCTAGTCGACCACCAAGTTTAATGGGTGCTATTCGTAGAACCTACTGGAAGGAAATTGCGCAGTTTGGGGTTTTGCTGTTCATGGAGGTAATTTTACTATGTAGCATTTTAGCATGAATTTCGAAAAAAAAGGAGTTGCTCTTTTAATAACGTCTTCGCAGCGTTTCACGTTGTTATTACTGATTTATCAGCTTCCATAGGGAAACAGCGGTCACTCAACGCACTTAAATTTTGATTTGCAGAGTGTTTTGCGTAGTTCTCGTATTTACATGCAAAAGCCCTGAAAAATGGGCTATGGTTTATTGTAAGAATTATAGTTAGAACATAAGCAGAAATGAATGAATTTTCACTATATACAAAGATTACGTCCATGTTGCTAGGTAGTCATGGTTCAAGAAATCTGAAATATTTACATAGTAAGGCCATATTGTTATGCTGAATTCGAGTACTTATATCCTCTGGCTCATTGGCGTTTTTGTGCAAATTTGTCATATTTGCCTACACACCTCTCCTCCGCTACTATCTAGAGCAAACCAGACCTTATCGTAAAGATGCAAAACAAATATAGTTCAAAAGCTGCTTTGGAATAACCACCCTGTGCACATCTGAAATTTCTGACGATATGATTCTCTACAG